CTACGCACTTATGAGACCAGGCGGTGTTCATGGCTAAAACGAACACAACAATGAGAACTAAAAGACNGGAAATAAAATGGAGGGAAAATGAAAATTTGAAGAAGTGAACCTTTGTCTTGCACTTTGTCCCTCATTGGTGAGGGACAATCACATTTGTGTGCTTATATATAGATTCACTTCTTAAAGTTCTTAAAAGGAGTTGAAGAGAATGAACCCTCGCGCCGTCGTCGTCGCTCGCTCGGCTCGGATTCGGATTCGGATTCGGAAAATGATCGATAAGATTATTTTTTGGACAAAATTTATTTAATTATTTAATAATTAATTAAATGTCAAATCACTGCTGAAACTACGCCAGAACCCTGGTGAAAGTTCAGAGGGCCTCGCTGGCCGCGGTTCTGCCGCGACCGCGGTAGAATCGCGACAGTCAGGTTCAGAGGGCCTCTCTGGCCACGTATTTTCTGAAAAGGCACCTTTCCAGACGCCTCTTCTGATATTTGCCTATAAATTCTGAGGCAAGGCTGCATCTTCTAGATACGAAAAAAACACTCTAGAACTTCTTTCTTTCTGAATATACTGCATCCTAATTCGCAGTCTCTCTCTCTCAAATTCGTAAGTGTGATTTTGCTCCGTTCTTTGAGTTCGTTGGTATCCTGTTGTTTGTATTGCCACTGTTGCAGGAAGGTTTATTCCGTTTTATCCTGGGAGGATTTAATCCATTACCTTGACAACGTGTGAGGGGGTTAAAATTCCTTAAGGGTGCACAAGAAAATTGTGGACTCGGAATATTTCTGATTTTTTACTATTTTATACATTTCTTTATTCTTCTAACAGTTTTTCTGATTTTTTGTTTTACACTGTAACGCTCACAATATTCTCATTATTTCTTGCCTATTTGTTAAATGGGGCGTCCCACGAAACTTTTAAGACGTGAGATGCATTGCATTATTTGGACTTGAGTTTTGTGTGTGACATGAGCACTTGAGGAAGCATAAGTTTGAGTACAATATTTGCATCTCTTAACGACATGATACTTTTCATATTGCCACGCGCACGGATTTTGCCGCTACAAAGCAAAGAAGCCTAGGATAGCTTCTAAAAGTTTAAAAGCTATCATACCATATGAAACACGATAAAAGGAGAAAAAAGAATTCTAATAGAATTCCCAGAAGAAGAAAAACTACACTAACGGAATTAGTGATTAACCACATACGAAGGACCCTTATATAAAAATTTATATTACATGAAACGAGGTCTCTCATTATCACATGGACTATTAAGAACAATATTATTTGTACGTTTAACCTAGTATGTTCAAAAAGCATTAAACAAACATCTCGCAGACCGCATAATTGTTCAGCAATCTAATAGTAAAATTTCTCCATTTCATCCACATAATTATCATTCGTCAAACTTTGGGCTTTTCCACTCGATTGCCTCAAATTTTTCACATAATTATCATTCGTCAACCTTGGGCTTTTCCATCAAATTTTACATGATATATTAAATAGATATCAAACACTTCTTGGAACATTTATCGTTCTGGTGGAAACGACATTACATTTCAAGTACCCCATTTCTGCAGGGCTAAAACTCATAAATTACATATGAAAAAACACATCCAATTGCCAATTGTCGAATGAACCAAGTTCTTTAAGAAAACAAAAGGGAGGAATGTAGACAACAAAATGGGTGCGCCTGATCACCCCAGATGAACATCATTCCTGAGAACTATTTATAGGGTTATACTAAGCAATGGATCAAGAACTGCAGAGGTTTGCGTCTCCTTTGGCACCAGAAAAATGATATGCTGTTGATAACCGAATAAGAAAGGGTAGCATAAGAAACCATTGCTTAAATGTGCATATTACTCCAGATATCAGCTAGAACTGGAAAGTGAACAGCTAGCAGATTCTGCAATCCGACTGATCTCATTTAGGACCTTCTCATTGTAGAGACAGCTCTCAGTTATAATTAAAATTTTGTCAACGACAACCATGTCTGGATCTTTCACATCCCACAAAAAAGGGCTGTAAGAGAATCCGGACCAGAAACCCGCAGAATATGGTTATAATGCTCCTCCAACAATTCAGAAGTGAAAATTTCTTCAGGAAGCCATATTCAGAAATTCTGCTATCAATTATCTTTCTGACTATATTATGCAAGTCAGTGGCACAAAAAGCAAGTATTTACTTGACACGCCAAGCCTGGTTTGTACCACTAGCACCAGTCCACCATAACAATGACTCGACTTTTGGTGCATTTAACTACCATTAGCAACAAGGAATTGGAAAAGAAGAAGTCAAGCTATCTCTCCTTCCTCCAATTCTTCATCCACGAGTAGAACATTACTCAAATATGTATAGTCCTGTTTTTCCCCCAGATCCTTCTCGTTCATAGATGAAAGAAACAAATCAAGATCTGAGTATGTATCATCACATATATCTTTGTCATTTTCATTAAGAAGTCCACTTACAAATGATTTGGAACTTTGGCCTTCTGATAATACAGATTTGTTAGTCTCCCTTTTTTCCGTAGATGACTTGAATGCTATCTCTCCTTCCTCAAATTCTCCTTCCACAGGTAAAACATCACACAAGTATGAACAGTCCTCTTTTACCCCCAGATCCTTTTCTTTCATAAATGAATGAACCAGATCAAGATCTGAGTATGTGTCATCACATATATGTTGGTCATCTTCATTAAAATGTTCATTTACAAATGATCTGGCACCTCTGCTCGCTTCCAATTTGTTGGTCTCCTTTTTATTGGCAGATGACTTGGATGCCACATTTAAGTTGGTATAAGTGAAGAGATCTGAAACGTGTGGGTTTAAAGATCCACCATCTTCTATATCCTCCTCCCTGAACATTACTCCCTTGGGACTTCGGCTATCACAATCGAGCTCATTTTGCTCCACTCTTAGAGGGACAGAATATTTGATTACTTCAAAATCACAGCTGTGCGATGGCAGGAAAACATAAATGACAGGGTACTCTAGGACAACCTTAGTGGCTAGTTGTTCACGCAGCGAAGCCTTTATATCCAACTGATAAAAAGGTGATTGTGTGCCCTGCCACCAAACAAAGTAATCAGACTCCATACACTCCCTTTGGCAGCATTAACTAAAAATAACCCATTTGAAGATATACCCATATATAAATAGTTATTAAAAAATAATAAGAAAAGCATGTCTCAAAAAGAAGAAGAAAGAAACAACGAAAAAGAAATTACATAAAGCACACTAATTGTTGTTTGGCATTGTAAACAAAATTTACCCCCAAGGATAAGATGGAATCGGCCTATCCAAAAGAGCTGAAAACAGCCACGAACATAATTATATGAAACAAGATCCAAGAAATCAGAAGAGACCTTTGGATTTTTGCGGATGAAAAGTTTAAGAGAATCCAGTGGCTCTTCAAAGAATTGCCTCAATGGATGATTCCAAGGGCCTGGTTTCAAATGATTCTCAATCACAGAGCAGAGGCTTGTGTCTTCATGTACTCTGCAACAAAAGCAATTAGTAAGTACGGGAAAGTTCACCAAGACAGTGTGTAGATCAATATTATGTAGGTCAAAACAAAAGATGAAAACTTCAGGAACCAAAAGGGAAAATATAATTAGTCATGAAGGGTGTCTTTTTCTTTTTTCTTTTTTTTTTGAGAAAGGGTAAGCATAGTCAAGAAGGATGTTTACCCATGATCAATCAACACAATATCTGTCGAGTGAAAACGCCATTCAATTGTCCAAGATATGAACTTTTTCCTGCGGAATAAATAAGAATTTGTTAATCATAAAAAACATCTCAAAATTTCTGATGCATAAGATAACAAAAGCCCAGATGGTATTTTTAAGAGCAAAAAGGGGGAAGCACGTTATAAAGATAAAGCTGAAGATAAGTTTGATGATAGAGTAGTAACAATAATAACAAACAACGCAAACTGACGTGGCTAACAATGAATCTAGAAGTAAGGAAAAATGATTAACGGAGGCTCACATTTAAACCAACTGGCTATAAACAGAAGCCTTGTATTTCTCATGAAGTCCAAGATGAGAACAATGAGAAATCCACAGGAGAAAAGGAGATATTTTCCAAAGGCATATGCCATATGGAATAATTTTATGGATAAAAAAAAAGTTGAAGCAGGAACCAATTCACCAAGTTGTTGGCTTAGGGAATGCCAAACCAAGTAATGTGAAGGGCGCTTGCTTCTGTAATCTAGCAAGCCGTATAATGACAACAACTACTATTACTAGGCCTCAATCCCAAACCAGCTGGGGTCAATTGTATGAATCCTCACCGACCCTGTTTATCCAATTAAATTCATCCCAGGTCAACATCATGCAACATAAAAATAGAAATAAAATGTATTAGAGGTTCTCTATATTTAACTGGCAAAAAAAAAACTACACAGGCCTAGAACACTCCTAGAAAGCCGTATAATCATAGCACAAAAAATATATATTATGTGCACAATGAGATTATCCAAAGCATGCATTATTACTGCAACTTTATGGACTTCAGACTAAAACAAGACTGAAACAAATATAGGCCTCCTAATTTCAAAACAATAAAGGATATCCATATGCCAAGCATTCCGCCATTATACAAATGAAATCTATGCATCATTAACTCAAAGCACAAGCCAACTCCACGAGACCAAACCTTTCATTGTAATAAGTTTGATTTTTCAATCTTCTCGACATTCCGCTTGATAGGAAGAGTATTTTGGTCCTACGATCAGAAGCAGCTCGCAGAAGATTCTTCAGATGTAAAGGAAGCCTAAAATGAGAGTAGCCACATAGCTTCTGTCTCATTCTTTTAGCTGATTCAGCAACTCTCTTAACATCCTCAAGCATGTTATAATCTGCCAAAAGTAAAAGTTTCAAAAAGCATTCATCAATTGGGAAAAAAAAAACAGTTTCCAAAAGCATATCATAACAGAAGATTTTCACCATCGTTGAGAGACTTCTTCCCAACTAATGGAATTGTCAAAGGCTCATTTAAGGCGCGCTTAAGCCCTGAAGCTCGGAAAAGCTCGGGAAGGACGCTTTCGCTTTGCCTTGCTAAGTTGCACTTCAGTGTAGGCAAAGCACTAAGGCGTGTGTATTCATTGCGCATGAGTTCTATCTTGAATCAAGTGGTGCTAAACAACAAATATAACCGGCAAATTAGTTCATTAGTTGTTAAGAAAAACATTATGAATGAATTTGTTACTTTTTCTTAAGACTTAAATTACATATCTATTTTTATTTTTATTTCCCATCACGCTTTTTCTTTACTGAAGCCCACACTTGAATTGTGTTTTGCGCTTAACGCGCCAATAAACCTAGAGAGCTTTTTAGAGCTTTTCGCCAACATAGACAATGAATTAATGCCTCCTCAGGCAGAGACGGAGCTAGGATCTGAAGCTTTGGGTTAGGAATTCTAGTCCGTTTAGGTTACGTCTAAATTAACATACATATTCAATGGATTTCTTAAGAAAAATACACGATTTGGACCAAAGTTATTGGGTGCGGCCGAATCCGTAACTCTTATGCTAGCTCCACCCCTGCTCATAGGTGAAGTAGATAGATCCCACTGAATGAAGCATATTTACAAGACTGAAGGGGACGTTTAACATAAAACTCTTAGCAAAACCTCCAAATTGGAAAAAACAAGGCATATAGAAAGATTAATAAAACTGGAATACGCAAACCTATCATTGTCAAAGGGAAACTAGTTTATTACAGAAACTTCTTATAAACTTGACCTTGCGCAACTTTTGGAGGGAATTTTTATTACTTTGGAAGCAAAAGTTAGCAGCATGCCAAGGGTTCCACTTTGGCAGAAAAAAGAAAAATTAAAAAGAAAGAAGAAAGGGTATGTGAAACCAAACTATCAGGCTCCTATCGCAAAGCTTCCAATATTTTCAGTAATAACTTCCTTTTTACACATTCTCCGCCTATTTCAACAATTTCAGTAACTTTTTTTGCACTCATGTTCCTACTGCAAGGATATCTTCAACCTTGATGAAGCAAATACATCCTACCAAAGCAGTGGCAGAGCCAAAAATTTATACATGGGGATCCAAAAAGAATCTAGAAAATCACAATTGGGATTTGAATATATGACCTAAAGCAACTTTTGAACCCCATTTAACACTACATTTTGAACTTTTTGTCATGCCGGGGGGATTCAAAGTGAGACTGAACTAAGAAATTATATTGTATAGACTTTCATGCAAAAAGCAAACATTCATAAATGCAACGAGTTCCATTGAAAATCCTAAGCAATCATAACAAGTACCAAAATGGGGGGGGGGGGGGAGAGCTTTTACTAGGGTGAAAAGGGTCATATGTGTAAGGCTCAGATCAGTAAGAAAGCTCAGAAAACTGGTTTGGCTGAAGCTAAAATATGGCATCTTTAGCAGTAGAAGAAGNGGGGGGGGGGGGGAGGGAAGAAACTTCAACTATAGAGGATGAAAATTCATTATTAAGAGTAAGATATAAACCTGATAAAAGAATGTTATCGTTGAATTGGGATAAAGGGACGACATCAGTGAGCGATCTTTTTCCAGTACAGCCAGTTCTTTCCTTGTGGGATTTGACACAAGGAAGGCTACACGTGCGTATAGAGCAAGCAGGGCATTTGTATTTCCATGAATTTGACTTGCACTCTTCGCATTCACTTGATTGTACGGGGTTAGGGTATGGCGCTGAAGCTGAAGCTGATGCCGATGCTTCTTTCTCATCCATTGCGCAGATTAGCCTCTGAGGGTTGTTGGGTTTAGGGTTTATCAGGGTTTTGGTAATGCAGCAAAGGAAAGAAGAAGTTCTGGCTCAAGCAACAGCGTCTTTTAGATTTTTAGGCCTTCACTAAAACACCGTCGTTTAGGAGCGAAAAATGGCTTTTTCCTTTTTTGTCGCTCTCGGTCATACTCCGAGTTGATATGAAATAATGAAATACAAGTACTTTAAAGCCATAGTTTGGACATAAGAAATTTTTTTCTTTTTCTAATAATTTTTTATTTATTTTTCTAAAATCAGCGTTTGTTTATAAAATTTATAATTTTCATTTGAAGATGCATTTTGAAAATTTAAAAAACTCAAAAAAGTTATTTTTCAAAATTTTCACTCAAAACTTAAAAAACAATCCAAAATTATATTCTTGTCCAAACACAACTCTTTTCACTTGAAAAAATATTTCACCGTATTTTGGAATTTTACTATTCTTATGTCCAAATGCCCACTAAATATATACTTGCGTAAACTTACAAAATTTGATTACTTTTGGGGTGTGTTTGGCAGGAAGGAAAATGTTTTCCTGGAAAATGAGTGCTTTTATAATTTATTTTCTCTCGTTTGGTTGGTGAGTGAAAAAAATTTTGCGAAAAATATTTTCTAGTTATTGGTTAGAGAGTATAAAATATTTTTAAGAAAATAATTTTTTATGCTACTCTCCTCAACTCACCTTCCCCAAAATCCTCATGTTTTCTGTACTCCCCCCTCCCCCCACCCCTCCACTCTATTTTCTTCAAAAATTTAATTATTTTTTCTTAAAGTTCACACAAACCCAAAGGAACTAATGTGCTACTTTACTTTTTCACACAAGAACAACGTTAAAATTTGAGCTTGATAACTAAAAAGAAACTACTTTATTTTGTTGAAAAAGAAAGTATCTTTACTACAACATAAAAAAAATTACTCATTTTGTTGAATAAAAGAAAATACTTTTTCTACATCATGAAAAAAAAATTCAATTTGTTGAAATGGGAAAATATTTTTCTACATTATGAAAATAGAATTGTTTACCGTGAAAATGGTAATAACAATTAAATTTGATTATGTGGTTCTAAAAATATGTGATTTATTTTTATGCTAGTTGTTAGGCAATAGGTGCTAAGTGAAAGACTAGAAAATAGAAAGAGCCTGAAGGTAGTATGTTGTGCGAATCGAGAGGCTGAGGATCGGGGCCTCGAGCCTGGCTATACGGGGCCTCGGGATCGAGCTGGGCGCTAGGCTGGGGCCGATAGATGGGGGACTAACAGTCCTAAGAGATTTAGCGAGGGCTCTTTATGATCAACGATGAGTAATAAATGAAGGACAATCAATGAAACGTAATAAATTTAAGTAATGAATTAAAGTAGAGACAATAGAGAATGCTAAGGTTAGAGAGCAGAGAATGTTCTTGTGGTTGTATTGAATATTATGTGTGCAAAAAATAACAAGGGTCCCCTTTATATTGGAGGGGGAATCCCAACATAGTACAAATGTATTTATTACAAAGATATGCGGCTGGTACAACCATTTAATACCACGGTACGTGCTTGTACTATTCTTATGGACTTGGTCAGCTCTAATCACTCGCCCTGGGAATCTCCCACTCATTCATCATAGCCACCGATTTGTACTGCCCCGAGGTCAAGCTATGCCTCGAGCCTTCTAGTTCATAAAACCTCGAACTGTGCCTCGAGCCTTCTGGTGATGAGCTACGGAATGCCTTGATGACCCCAAATCGGACTCTCCAATTTTAGCCATATACAGATAGTCCCCGCGTTTCTTAGAGTAAAATGATAAGAAACGAGTTTGACATCGATCTCCTCGAGCCTCTCATGATGACATCATGCTTATGACGTAAGCTTTTGTGATAACTGAAACGTCCCATCGGTTCATCTTTCCAGAAGCATTCAATGTATCGCTAGTTTATTTTCCCAAAAGTGATAATATCGCCGCCGATCTGTTTCCCAAAAAACATTGATTGCGCCTGTCGATACGTTTCCCAAAGGCGCTGATTGCGCCGTCAGTTACGGTACTGCCTTTCTATAAATGGAAGGTTTCTTGACCCAAAATTCCACTCAGCCATCCTTTAACAACCTTTAACCCTTTTCTTCTCTTCATACTCATCCAAACTCTAACTTTCATGGTTCAAGCTCATGACCGTAAGGTCACACGGCAGCGGTTTTGCCAGTTATGCCATGGCTCCTTTTTAGAGCTTTTCCTCACTGAGTGGGATCGTACTGGTTTGTTGTTGTTGGCCTGAAATAATGAGAGGGGGGCTACGAATTATCCCCGTATTAGAGGATATATGGACCATGAACTACCACTCATCTCCCTTAATTTCAACCTGGTGTCGTGCTTCGCTCCTTTTGCTTTCCATGGAGTGAGGTGGTGTCATCTACTAACCTTTGCATCCTACACCGGTGTAATGTCTCAAGAAGTGGCTTCCCAATAGTAGTGTTGGCGAGACCCATACTCGCCAAAGTTTCCACCAAGGCACAATTTTCCCCGCTTGTTGAAAGTTTTTGCTCTTTGATAGGCTACAACATCTTCCTTATCTTTTTCTGCTTCGGAGGAGATTCTCGAAGACGTCGTTTGGAAGATCGAAATGGGGTTCCCGAGGAAATGGTTCTCGCAGATGTCTCTCCCGAGGTTGTACCTCCGAAAGTAGACTAGGCTTTTAGACTGTTGTTTTCTACTGCTTTATTTCCATGTAAGGACCCCTCGTGGGCTTTTGTAATCGTCGTTTAATTAATTCAAAAATTTCTTCAATTTGCTTTTGACTTGTGTTGGATTCCCTTTCGCCTGTGTTTGTGAAAAGAGCCAAGTATGTGACTTTATCAGTCGATCCGAATACTGGACAAGGACATAGGAATTTCTTTGGTGCTCGAGTGGTTAATACGATGTTCTTTAAAATTCCCTGTCAACCTTTGGACCAAGCCTGGATTGATCCGATATGAACCTAGGTTGCCGGAACCTCTGAGTTCGAGTTGAGTGAGAGCAGGGTCTCGATTCTCTTTGGAGTGAGGCTTAGCCTCATTGGGCCTCGTTGCTAGTCCTCGAGCAAGAGCTTGCTCGATCATCTGAAAATAAAGATAACCCTTAGGCCAATAGTCCCCGAGTGAGAGTTTGATTGCACTCGGGTATCTTCCAGCTGAGCAAAAATTGGCCTTGAGTTTAAAATGAAAATAGCCTTAAGGCGTTATAGATAGTTCCTGAACGCGGATGCATTCGAACTCAGGTGGCCCTCGAGTGGGAATTGGCTCAAACTTGGGTAGCCCTTGAGTTTAGTAGTCGAGAAGGCGTCGGTTCGAGCTCTAAGTAGAGATAGCCCTGAGGCTTTATGAATAATTCTCTAGTGAGAACTGACTTGGACTTAGGTGACCCGGGGGCCGAAGGATCGGGTGAAAGACCCGCACTTGCAATAGTTGAGATCCTCGAGATAGGGTACTACCTCGAGGCTAGGTTTATATTGACAACTCTATAGAGCTCATAGTTATAATACTAGAGATCCTCGAGATCAGGCACCATCTCGAGGCTAGACTGTCTTTGATGGCTCCTTAGAGCCCCATTTTATATCGATATAGATCCTCGAGATCGGGCACTATCTCGAGGCGATATAAGTATTGATGGATCCTTAGAGCTTATCTTAGCGGTAGCAGAGATTCTCAAGATCAGGCACCATCTCAAGGCTAGGTTAACTTAGGAATCTCTGACCCCTCGAATGTTGTACGACATCGTCATTCATATGACATAGTCACGAGATGACTGGGATGGTCCTACCGGTATACTTCCTCGAAAGTGATAATGGCTAGTTAGAATTAATTGGCCTTTAAAGTAGGCGGACAGTTGCCTATCTTGATCTATATATGAGTTTGCTCTCCCTTTATTTGGGGGTTCCGCTACTTTGAGCAGCTATCCTTTTTACAGTGTTCTCCTTCCTCACGCCAGCTCTTTCATCATTTTAACTCAGAGTTTTCACCTATGTTTTCATTTCCCTTCTCTTGTTTTTCCATAGCTATGTCTGCTACGCCCAAATTCGTTTACCAAGAAGAGGAGGGTTCCACCTCTGCTTCCCGCTCAGTTGGTGGTACACCGTCGGCGTCTGGCGAGCTAACCTCGATATGCTTTGTCTTGAGAGGGACCTTTCATTAGAGACACCTCCCAATGTTGAGGGACATTGGGATCATGCATCGAGGTTCACTTCATCAATAGGAGAGGGACACCTCGAGGTAGTGAGGAGAGACTGCGGATGGGGAGAAAAGGTGGTACTACAGGTACCTTCCCTAGAAGAGAACATTACGGCTCACGTAGAGGGGTTTTTGAACGTATACATGTACTCCTTCACATTGGGCCTTCTCGATAGAGTCATGCTTGACTTCTGTCGAAGATATTGGGCTACCCTGGCATAGGTTCACCCGTCGTTCTAGAGGATAGTATTGATGATGAGGTTCTTTGTGGAGGAAGCCGGGCTTGAGTTCACCCTTAGCCATCTCATCAGATTATATCGTCCCTTTCATTTCCGAGGCCTGATATCTTTACGATGCTGATCCACCAGGACCTTTGCTGCCGACGATGAAGAAAATGGGAACCGAGGGTAGATGAATCGATTTGTCTGAGTGCAGATTGTCGATATCATCCATGTGGAGTTCCTGCCATTTCCTGAGAAATGGAATTTCAGACGTAAGTGGTACACTTGCATTTTTGTCATTTTGTTCATGGTGGAGGCGGACTCCGTAAAGATGTTTTCCTTTTCCTTTGTACAATAATCGCCTGGATGCCATACGAGGTCCCCGACCTGGCGGATTGGACTCGGAAACTAGCAGCTTGCTCAACTTACGATGAGCGCAAGTGGCGAGATCTGTCCAAAGGTAGATGGGAGGCCAAACACCATGATACATGTTGTGTGGCCTATTTTCTTTGAAAGGTACTTTCTTTTATGTGTATTAACTCCGTCATCGTAGGTATTGAAGAATTTTCTGAGATGAGACTGTGCCCCTTTGGAGAGGAGGAAGGATCGTCAGTTTCAGGGCTGAGGAATGATAACAAATGGAAGGAATCTTCGAATGACGAAGAGCTCATAGTAAGGCAAGCCCTGCTCGGAGGCTCAAAAGGGATGTATCGGCTGAGCTTGCAGCTACCGAGACTTCTAGCCTCAGAAGAGTGGCTCCTCCTTTGACGTCGTCTTCTTTTCCCGTCGAAAGTACTTCGAGGGATACTGGTGCATTGCCCTCGTCTTCTTTTCCCGTCAAAGGTACTTTGAGGGAGACAGGTGCATTGCCGTCGTCTTCTTTTCCCGTCGAAGGTACTTCGAGGGATACAAGTGTTTTGCCGTCGTCTTCATCTCCTGTCGAAGGTACTTCGAGGGATGTTCGAGGCCAGGGGTCGCCTAAAACAAGCGAGGTCTTGAGCGACCATGTCCCTACTGAGATCGGTTCAACTAGGTCCAGTGAGACAAAGCGAGTAGATGCACGTTCAACTTTTGAGGAGGCTCAGCGGCTTTGTATTGCGGTGAGCTTTTGGTTGACTTTGTTGGTTTTTTTATTTTACATTTTCATTTTCTTATCGAGCTTCTTTTTCATAGGCCTTTGAGAAGCTCAAATCCGAGTTGCTCCGTCGTGAATCCAGGATGCGGAAGGCCATGGACGAGGAGAAATCCCTCATGATTCTTTGTAATAAAAGGGGAAAGTAACTGAGGCACCTTCGATATGAGGCGATTCGAAGCCTGAACTACGAAAGCCACCTTGAGAAATAGGTAACCTTTGCTCCGAGTGGGTGCATGTTTCTTCTTCTATCCCCGGAGGTTAATATTTTGATGTTTCAGTTGCAGAGCAAGACAGAGGATCTGGAATGCCTTTGGGGCAAGGTTGGCCAGGCCAAGTATAAGTGTAACGATCTAAGGGCTCAGATAGATGCCCACATTGCCGCCAAGAAGAATGCTTTGGCCAAGGCTTCTGCCTTCGAGGTACAGCTCCGGAACGCCCATAAAAACAGCTCGATCCAGATGAGCAGGATTGCAAGGCTCAAGTCCAACTTTTTGGAGATGAAGGCCGAGGTTGTGGATGCCCGAGCTGAAGCTGAAGAGATTCGGGCTAAGGCTGACAAGAAAATGGTCGTCTATTTGAAAGATGTTGCTGATGCTCGAGCTAAGTTGAGAGGGGCTTCCAATCGGGAGAGCAGAAGCAATGAGTATGCCCAGTGCAAATCTCGGAGGGAATCCCTCAGAGAGATCTACGCTAGGGGCTTCGATCTCTCGGAAGAGATAGAGCAGGCCAAGGTGGATGAACACGACGCTGAGTTCCTCATTTCTAATTCCGAAGATAATGAGGAAAAGGCCAACTAAGCCGTAGTTCCCAAGGGGAAAGTAGATTAGGCTTTTGATTCTGTGTGTAATGCTCTTAGAGAACATTTGTAGATGAAGCCTTGTATTATTTCACGGATACATATATAAAGAAACCTTTCGGTTTTCTCCTTTCATGAATTTCCGTTTGCTTGCGTATGTCTTTCTTTGTCTTGAGTTTTGATGTTTGTCAATGATTAGCCAGATGACTTGGCCTTCGAGGAAAAACCCTTCGATTTACAAATCGGCTCTGAGGCTCGTTATGCTGGCCCGTAACCTATGGCACATTCGGTCGGTACAACCTTTAATATGGGCAGGCAACAGTGGCTCTTACGCGTTAGGTCGGTACGACCTTTTAATTTAAGCTACCGACAGTGGCTCTTACGCGTTAGGTCGGTACGACCTTTTAATTTAAGCTAGCGACGATGGCTCTTACGCATTAGGTCACTACGACCTTTTAATTTAAGCTACCGACAGTGGCTCTTACGCATAGGGTCGGTACGACCTCTAGTATAGGCTTTATTTTTCCCTCGTTGAAGTTTTTTGTGTTCGTCCGACTCTTTGACGGTTCGATAAGAACCTCGATTATGAGTCATTATATGACGATAAATGAGCACCTCATGAGGTTTCACTCAATGGCTGAGTTGTTTCGAAGCCTTTTTGTTGTTTGGAGCTGATATGATCGAAGCTTTTTTGCTTATGCCGAGGGTATCCTGATTAACCGGTTCTTTTTAAATTTTTTCGAAGTAATTGAAGGCCTGTGATTTTATTGCGACGGTCGGGCATCCCCAAGTCATGTTAGTTTAGCTGGTACAGCCTTGTGACCGTAGTTATTGTATTTGACCATAGCCTTTTATTCCCCGAGTGAGGTAGCCTCGGCGTCTATATCGAGGGCATGCCTTTTTAGGGGTCTTACACGTTCGAATATATATCCTTGACTTTAAGATCGAGATTATGCCTTTTGTAAGGTCTTATAAATTTGAATATGCCTTGCTTGAGGTGTTACAGATGAGTTACTTGGCACAAGTATAGATCATGCCTGGCTTGAGGTCTTATAGACTTGGGCACACCCGGAGGTCTTATAGCGTTGAAGATGTCTCATGGAGGTCTTATGAGCTCGAGGTTTCCCGCACGGGGTCTTATAGCCTCGAATTTTTGATAGCTAGATGGGGCGACAGTCCCCGAGACATCGAGAGTTCTTAGCTCTGGAGCCGTTTTTTGATGTTTCCTCATTGAGGGGCCGTTTCTTGTAAAAATAGCAAACTTCTTTGAAGCGCAGAGTTATTTGATGGTAAAAATCAAAAAATATTCCTTGATTACTTGGTACAAGTATACATAGTCTTCGCCGCTGAGGGTTCAATTGTTATATGCGGATATGGTTCTTTTGTCCGTTTGGCCTGATGCATCATTTTCCTATTGAGGCCCTATTTGGCTTATCTTGATTTCTCCAGGGAGATGATGTTCCGAGAGGTTGCCCCTAGTATTCGAGGTTGATTGAAGAGAAGCCTTGAATACTTGTTGAGTTCTCCTTAGGTAGCACATAGGTGTTGCCTTGTTAAAAACCTTGCCGGTAAAACCCTTATTAGGATAAAACCCGATTGAAGGAAAAGAGTGCAACAGATGCTTTAAAACCTAAGGTCTTCAAGTTGGAAGGTGCTTCAATTCTTCTTAACCGGACACCTGCACAAAGGTTAGTGTAAAACATAAATAAAAAGGAGACGGTTATACCTTAGTTGCAATGGCGTTTCGATCCTCGATATGCTTTAACTGTTTGCTCTGGAGTTCGTTCACTCGGGTGCAGCCAATGATGTAGCTCGTGATTGCTACTTTGCTATATGTTTATCTTTTGGCTCCTTCGATATTGAAGGTGTCGATGTTGGTGCCACATCATGCACTGCGAACATCCCTCTTGCAACATGTTGCTCCCTGTATACCATTTTTATTCCATCCTTTGTTGGGAACCTCATCATTTGATGAAAGGTTGATGGTACTGCTCTCATGGAGTGTATCCATGGCATTTCGAGCAAGGCATTGTATCTCATGTCTCCTTCGATGAGATGAAACTTTTCATTTTGGGTTGTTCTGGCCACGTTGACCGGAAGGGTGATTTCCCCTTTAGTTGTCTCGCTCGCCATATTGAATCCGTTGAGGACTCGAGAGGCGGGCATGATCTGGTCGAGCAGTCTGAGCTGCTCCACGACCCTTGACTTGATAATGTTGGGCGAGCTACCTGGATCCACAAGTACATGTTTAATTTGAAATGTATCCACTAGAAAAGAAATTACTAATGCGTCATTGTAAGGCTGACATAGAGTCTCGATGTCCTCGTCACTGAATGTGAGGGTATCCTCGGATATGTAACCTTGAGTTCGCTTTTCCCTAGTGATGGATATTTTTTTTCTTTTGATAGTGGGTTCCTCTGGAATGTTGACTCCCCCAACAATCATGTGGATGACATGTCGTGGTTCTTCTGCTTCATTTTTTATGTTTGCCTCTTTTTCCCGAAATTGATGTTTGGTTCGGTCGTTGAGGAACTCTCGGAGGTGCCCTTTGCTAAGTAGTCAGGCTACTTCTTCTCGGAGCTGTCTGCAATCTTCGGTCCTATGATCGTGTGTGTCGTGAAATTCGCACAACAGGTTGGGTTCCTCTACGACGAATCTGATTGTATGGGCCTTGGCCACCTGGTGTATTTGATTTTACCCATGGCTGATACGATGTCCGAAGCATCGATGTTGAAATTGTACTCAGAAAACTGGGGTGCCTCAGTTAGTCCTGTGTACCTATCGAATCTGGCTTTATTCACAAGTCCCAGAGGATTCTGTCCTCGGTCTGCCCTTCGGTCATTTCGGGGTATGTTATGCCTTAGGGCGTTTCTTCAATCTTTGGTGTATGGTTGGTACCTTTCCTTGTTTGGTTTTGGCTCCTTTGCCAGAAGCCTACTAGGATATACTAAGCCCGAGAGGGCTCTCAGTTGGTCGTCCTCGACCCTAATCTTTGATTGGTATCGATTGTGGACATCCGACCAAGTCACGGCGGGATATTCAACCAAGTTCTGCTTCAGCTGCCTCGAAGCTGCCGAGCTTCGTTCATTCAGACCTTGGGTGATGGCCTACACTTCCTAGTCATCGGAGACTGGTGGTAACTCCATTCGTTCCATTTGAAAGTGAGATACAAACTCCCGCAACATCTCATTTTCTCTTTGTTTGATTTTGAAGACGTCGGACTTCCTTGTAGGAACTTTGATGGCACTGGCATGTGCCCTATATAAAAGAATCTGCCATCATGGCGAATGAGTCTATCGAATTTTGGGATAGGTTGTGATACCACATCATGGCCCCTTTTGAAAGTGTTTTCCAAAATTTCTTCAACAGGACGAATTCAATCTCGTCGTCCCTCAGGTCATATCCTTTTATGGCACAAGTGTAAGCGGTGACGTGCTCGTTGGGTCCAAGGTTCCGTTGTACTTCGGGAGATCAGGTATTCTGAATTTCTTCGGGATGGGCTTCGAAGTCGCACTTGACGAGAATGGCTTTTATACGAATTTCTTTGAGTCGACACCCTTCAGGATCGGGGTTGCGCCCGGGATCTAATCGACCCTTGAATTGTAGGTCTCCACCTTTTTATCATTAGCTTCTATCTTTTTTTCGCCCGATTCGATCCTCTTTGTGAGGTCCTCGAGCATCTTCATAATAGCGGGGTCGGTTGCTGACCCATTGTTGCTCGATCTTTCTGGCACCTGTTCGGCTCGAGGGGCCGTTTTCGGTGTTGTTGTGCTTGGAGTTTTTTGGTGGCTTTGCAGTTGAGTAATCGCCAGCTGTTGTGCCTGCAACATCTCAAAAATAACGTGAAGGCTAACCTCTTGTTCCTACCGAGTTGGGGTCTTCTGAGCTTCTTGTTGGTTTTCCTGGCGTATACTCCTGTTAGTGTGGGAGCTTATATCAATGTACTGGGCGTTGCGCGATACCACGCCCACAAGAATTGGTTCCGGTGCGTCCTCAGAGATTCGTAGTGGTACACCGACGCCTGAAACAGCTACACCTTCTCTCCATGGTCATCAAGACCATTGTTTTCATGTGCATTCACAGAGTTAGACATTTTGACCTGAAATTAAAGATTCTTGGGCAAGAAAAAGTGCAAAGAATAACTTGTGTTTTTCACTAAACTAGCACAAAAACAGTCACTATTATTTTTAGTCCCACGGTGGGCGCCAAACTGTTTATCGTAAAAATGGTAATAATAATTAAATTTGATTATGTGGTTCTAAAAATATGTGATTTATTTTTTATGCTAGTTTTTAGGCAATAGGTGCTATGTGAAAGACTAGAAAATAGAATAAGAGCCTGAAGGTAGTATGATGTGCGAACCGAGAGGCTGAGGATCGGGGCCTCGAGCCTGGCTATACGGGGCCTCGGGATCGAGCTGAGCACTAGTCTGGGGCCGATAGATGGGGGACTAACAGTCCTAGGAGCTTTAGTGAGGACTCTTTATGATTAATGATGAGTAATAAATGAAGAATAATCAATGAAATGCAATAAATGTAAGTAATGTATTAAAGTAGCGACAATAGAGAATGTTAAGGTTAGAGAGCAGAAAATGTTCTTGTGGTTGTATTGAATATCATGTGTGCAAACAATAACAAGGGTCCCCTTTATATAGGAGGGGGAATCCCAACATAGTACAGATGCATTTATTACAAAGATATGCGACTGGTACAATCAATTAATGCCACGGTACGGGCTTGTACTATTCTTATGGACTTGATCAGCTCTAATCACTCGCCTTGGGAATCTCCCACTCATTTATCATAGCCACCGATTTGTACTGCCCCGAGGTCGAGCTATGCCTCGAGCCTTCTAGTTCATAAAACCTCGAGCTGTGCCTCGAGCCTTCTGGCGATGAGCTACGGAATGCCTTGATGACCCAAAATTGGACTCTCCGATTTTAGCCGTATACAAAAATACTCGTTTTATTGAATTGAAAGAAAATACTTTTACTACATCATGAAAAGAATATACTCATTTTGTTGAAATAAAAAAAAGTACTCTATCTACAACATGAAAAGAAAGTACTCTTAATAATATTTTTATTTAGGGTGGGTGGTGGACGAGGTTGAGGTGGTAGAAACATTTTCCCTCTTTTTGATAGGGAAAATATTTTCCTCCAATTGGAGGAAAATGAGTTGATGAGGATAATATTTTCCAAAATATTTAAGTCATCAAACATAGAAAAATTAAAAAATATTTTTTCCAAAGCACACCCTTGATCTCTTTAATATTTATAGCAGACCATCTATTGTTACATTTATTTGAATTGACTCGTAATGAATGATTTCCCTCAACTTTTAACCTTAGGAGAAAATAAAGGGTACTATTGCAGATTCGAAGTAGATATAAACATTTATTCATTTGCTATTCTATATGATTGAAGGCTATAATATATTAATTTGGCTATTCTATATGATTGAAGGCTGGAAAAAGTGAGTGATATATTAATTTGGCTTGAATAAAAAATTTCTTAAGATACGAATTGGGTTAATGAATTCATAGAAGTTCGTCCTGGCAATTTTTTCAATTTGAATAGCTCACATGCTTTCACAAGTCAATTTCATCAAAAAAATAATACCATTGTGTATTTTAATAACAATAATAATAAATTATTCTTACTTCAGTAAACATAAAGACTAAAGCTATTAAGTGTATATTAAAAGAGCCATCCTAGACCAACCCAAACACTAAAAACTATTTTCTTAATTTTCTCTTTAGGAGGAGGTAGTCGTTGTGTTTTTCACCTCTAGCAATTCTTTGTTTTTCTTTTTTCTTTTTCTGAGACCTTCAGCCGTTTTGATGTAATTAAAACTTTGACCTATTAAGTTTTTTCTGTTGCAAATAGTATGTGGTTGAAGTCCATGTATGAATAGTTTATGGATGGATTTCCACTTTATATCCCTCCCTTATACTATTTTACTATAGTGGTCTTTACTTTTTATGTCTATAGAAGGCTATGTAAATGACATTGTAAAGACACACCAAAAGGGAGTGAAATACTCCTTCTTCTATCTTTGTTTGTTATTTACATTTTACTAAACTGCTTTTATTTTATAACACGTTATTTGCACGAGTGTCGCGCCCCCTTTTTCCTCGCGGAGTCCGGGTTTCGACATTTGTGATGATCCAAAAGGTCATCACTTGTTTTGAAAGTAAATTCTGTGTTCCGAGGCCTTAAAAACCTTTTCTTGCCTCACCTCAATTTGTGCGCAGTCCGGGCGCGTTTTCGGAAAGTTTTTATGTGGAAACTAAGTAAAATAAGGAAATTGGCTTTTAAAATTTAATAAAGTTGACCTTGGTCAACATTCTTAGTAAACGGACGCGGACCCGTGATCCGACAGTCTCGTAGGGTCCGTAGTAAAATTTGGGTCTTGGGCGTATGCCCGGAATCGAATTCCGATGTCCCAAGCCCGAGAAATGAATTTTTGAAAGAAATTGTTTAACTGAAATTATAAGAGTTTTTAGAAATGAAAAGAGGTTTGAAATTGATGGTATCGGGCCCGTATTTTGGTTCCGGAGCCTGGTACAGGACTTACATAATAATTAAGTTGAATCTGTGAAGTTTGGTAAGAATCAGAGTTCGTTTAGTATAAATCGGACCTTTATTTGAGAATTTGGAGATTTTGATGTTCTTGAGTGATTTCATGAATTTGAGGTTTAATTCATAGTTATTGATGTTATTTTGATGATTTGATTGCACGAGCAAGTCCGTATGATGTTTTTAGACTTGTGTGCATGTTTGGTTTGGAACCCCGAGGGCTCGGGTGAGTTTGGATAGGCCACAGAGTGAAATTGGACTTAGGAAAATTGCTGTTGTGTTGCAGGTCTGCAAGCTTTGCAATTGCGAAGCCTGGCTCGCAAATGCTAGCTCGCATTTGCGAAGAAACATCGCAATTGCGATGATGGGCTGGGGCAGGGAACCTTTGCATTTGCGAAGCTTATGTTGCAAATGCGACATTAGCAGGCACCACAATAGCGAACAGTTGCTCTCATTTGCGAAGAAAGCAGAGGCAGGTCTTCCTTCGCAATTGCGAAGCTTTTGCCGTAATTGCGAAACTTTTGCCGCAATTGCGAATTCGCATTTGTGAACA